GAGATCTGTGTGAGTAATATCCTACACATATTGCTCCAGCAAAAGATCAATCCAAAGAGTTTGATGTGAGGTTCAAAAGTAGCTTAAATCTCAGTTTATAGCTTCCTTTGTCTATAATTTTTCACCCCCTAATGGTTATCATGAAGTCTCTCTCATTATTTCATGTGCTAGTTGCTTTATGACAGTGAAAAAATGGCATTATTTACATGTTTCTTTGCTTCTGTAGAAACAAAGAAACATGTAAATAATATGATGTATTCTTCCACAATTATTTCATTTAGCTCTTGCACAAAATTTTATTTCATTTATCAAAACAGATAGCAGAGTGCTTGTACTCTATGTGCAAAAGAAACTTTGGTTATTTTTGAGAAGGGTCCAATATCTTCATCTGAGCCTCCATGTCTGCATACTGCTTGTATTATAGTGGTGATATGTATGTGTGGTGATAATGGGGCAGGCCTGGGGTGGAGGATGACCATAATGGAGGTGCCATGTTAATAATAAACATTATAAATCTTCTGTGTTGATACAGACATTTATGTTCTTATGTAGTAGAGTTGTGGTTTTAGGTAGTCATTTTGATAAGACAAAAGGAAAAACACAATTTCTACTGAGGAAGGCAGATGCAAATCTTCCTAATATCAACCACCTCTAGAAAATCTTTTCTCTCACTTAAAACTTTAAATGCAAATTGAATAATATTGCCCTGGTAGGGTAGGAATTCAGACTTTCAGGAAGCAGTTTATCAAGATGTGAAAATCCTTACAAGGCCAGCACTGCCCATAAGATCCTATTCAGTTTGTTACAAATGCCAATGCCAATTGAGCTGTTTTTCATTGAGGTTGCTTTTCATTGAATACAGACTCTGAATTGAAGTTTCTACATAGATGTTTTATTGAGAGGAATTCTCAGAAGATACACTAGTAAGGAAGTGGGAAAGCAAATCTGAGCAGAGAGTGAACTTAATCATGTAAATGTAATTCTAATCAAAGTATCAAGCATCTGCAAATTTATGGAGCTAGAATGAGCCTTCCTGGCTATCCTGAATTGAGTTAAATCATCAGGACCTTTGCATCTGTGCATCCAGCCAATCCCTGGCTGCAAGCCACTCCTGGAAAGGAGGGATATCTGAAGGAGAAAGTGTCCTGAAATCAAGGGAAACATTTCCTGGGGGATGCAGTAGAAAGCCATTAGCAGTAGAAATTCCCAGCAGCTGAGGAGATATGTGTGTTGACTCTGATGAGCAGACTGGAGTGAGACAACACAGTATCCAAAGCCAAGGAAAAAACTAGGGAGCAAACAATCAAGTTTCATAGAATCAAGCATGTCTTGAAAATTAAATTGGCAGTTTGGGCTTTACAATGTGGATTGTAAGTTTCTTGAGTAATAGAATTGCACAACTGGGGCTTTCCCCCTCCTTTTCATTCTAAACATGGATGTGATGGTTAGAGTTGCAGCATCCAAAATGGGAAAGTCTTACAAATGGCAGAAATATCAACTGTCACAGAGCTATGGAAACAGTCACTTACTTTTAGGCATTTGATGGTGTAAGAAATATAGATTCTATTTAAGTAAGTCATTTTAATGTTGCTGGTGTTGTTCTTAATGGCTATTGAGTACAATCTTGATTACGTTAGAAAGCTTTTGAACTAGTTTAGGCAAGATTTGATGGGGACCTGATCTAGGTAATGTAACTGGGAATAGAGACCAAGCTGGTGAGAAATATGTTAATCCATAGGACCATGTCACTAATTGTGGGATTGAAGAGAGATTGAAGATTCAGGAATGATTCTGATGTTCTGGTGTATGAAGTTTTTCTAGTCTTACCTTCTGTCGCTCATATTTCAGTTTATCTCTTGACCATGCCCAGTTATTTTAAACCTGTCTACTTTTTCTTTTCTGATTTCTCATTCTTTTCTTTCTTGGTACTGGAGATTGAATCCAGGGATTCTTAACCACTAAGCCTTGTCCTTTTTCTTTTTTATTTTGAGACATCATTTTGCTAAGTTGCTGAGGCTGGCTTTGAACTTGTGACCCTTCTGCCTCAGTCTCCCAAACCAAAAGGAATACAAGTGTGCACCACCGTGCCTAGCCCTCTCTACTTTTTCAAGTGATTTTTCTCCTCATCCTATTTCATTTAGTAACCTCCAATTTGTGCTTTAAAATTTTAAATAGTACTTTCTCTGTAAAGCACTTCCTTTTCTTTGGAGAGAAGCTACAGGTTTTTGAATTATCATTATGTGCCCAATATTAAATAATTTCCAGATAATAAGTCATTCTTATAACTAACTAACTCTTAGGTAGGTACTGCTAGAAGTCCTCACTTTACTGATAAATACTGAGGTATTTATTAAATTTAAATAATAGGCTATGAAATAACAGAGCTTGCATTTGTATCCAGGAAAATTTCAGAGACCCTGATAAACTACTTTTCATAGAAAAAAACTAAGAAGAAAAGTGGGTAACAATGTACATGAACTTACTTCAATTCCCCAGTCATGCGGATATGGTAACAGTTGTTATATCCCATCTCTAGGGGGTTCCATAGTAGCTCCAAAAAAATATATATATATATATGACTATACCCAAGATCCTGTGGATAATGACCTTATTAAGAAAAGGATCTTTGCATATGTAATTAAAGATCTTGAGATGCGACAACCTGAATGATCTCCGTGGGCCCTGAATTTAGAGACGAGAGTCCTTATAATCAATAATAAGAGAGACTAGGAGAAGAAGAGATCATGCCAAGGACCGAGACAGAAACTGAAGTGAGGCACCATGAGTCCACAGAACACCTGGAGCCACCCAAAGATGTAAAAGGAAAGGTAAAATTCATCTTTACAGTCTGTGGAATAGCACAACCCTAATAGTACCTTGATTTCAGACTTCTGGCCTGTGGGCTGTGAGTTAATACATTCCTTGCTATAAGCCATCTCATTTGTTGTACTTGGTGACAACACCCCTGAGAAGCTAACATGTCACCCCTGGCCATATAGCGCATGCATAGAACCCATGATCTATAACCCAATTTGGAGGGTTAGCTCCATGATCCTCATATACCATACTTTATGGAGAAGGATTACTATTGCTAGCCCAGAAACTTCAGGTTCTGGTGGAAAAGTTCCCTTCTAGAAAGTGATGTCATCAAAGGCTAAAAAGCACAAGTACTAAACGATTTGGGTTCAAATCTTCTTTCAACTATTTACATGCCATTAGCCTGAACAAATTTTGAAACTTCTCTGGCCTCATCATCAGTCATATGTAAAACAGAGAAAAAATTTCTTATATTTAATTTCTTATATATAATTTTTAAAAATTTCTTACATATAATTAAAATAATATAAAAAGTACTTTAAAATGTCTATTTATTGCAAGCACACTATAAACATTAGCCCCACGTCTATTACCATGGAATAGAGTTTTCTTTTAACCAATGAGTGTCTGGAGCCAGCCATGGGCTATGTGTGTGAGCTATGCACATTTGAGCACATGAGGGGACTGGACTGATGTCACTGCCCTGGTTGAGCTGTGTGACTTGTGTGTCTTTTTTGCTCACTCTGCCTTTGATCCCACACAGCACCCCTGAGATAGATGTGGTCTTCCAAGATGTCAGTCATCTGTTGACCATAAGACAGCACCAAGCAACCCACTGATGCCCAATCCCTTGCCTTATTTAGGTGGAACTTTCTCCAGTGTCTTCCTCCCAATAAATAGGGCTTCAGGCATGCTCTCTATCTCTTTTGCCTGCTTCTTTTGCCTCCCTTGTGGGAGCTGGATCAGAAGAGCCATCATTGAACCCCAAGAAAAAGGTCCTTTCTGTGTCTGTGTGGTTATTTCATGACAGCCCCATTTACCTGGCATGACCCTGACTGATGGAGTCGCAGGTCGAGGCAAATGAATACATTTCTCTCCAAACAAACCTTTCAAATCATACATTCTCAGGCAATTATCAATAGTCTGTGATTAGGTACTTGCACAAATTAATCAAATATGAGTTTCTATACATCAGAGAAGGAGACGCTTCACTGTAAAACATTAGAAATAAAACATTTTTTGGTAGCTAAATGTGACATGAGTGTATGCCACTTAGAAAAATTTCTGCAAGTGGGTGAGTGAATATCTATGGTTTGTAGGCCTGCGACAGATTTTTTTTTTTTTTTTAGGATGCCAGATAACTTCTAGAGTTTAGATATTTAGAAATTCGTGGGTTTTTTTTTTGTTTTGTTTTGTTTGTGTGTGTGTGTGTGTGTGTGTTTTCAGTATAACCCTGTAGTTCAGCTTAGGTCCTGAAGATTACCATCCAGGGGATATATTACCATCCAGGGTTTATCATTTACTTTGGAAGCTTGCTTTCTTCCCTTTGTGAGAAAGTCTGGCTACCAAAGAACAATTTTGGATGCTCTCATTAAAAGCTGACTTTGCAACCCCGAATACTTACCAAGCTCAAAACTCCGAAGTAAACAACAAAGTCTCTTATGTAATAAGTTGCATAATATAAAATAGTAAAAAAAGAATATTGACTATTTTACTTTAAAATAGTAAACAACAAAGTCTGTTAAGTGTTAAGTTGCAGATACCCTGACAGGAAGAGGGTCAAAAACCACAGGTCATTTACCTAGCAATACACAGCAAAAATGACTCTAAGTTTCCTTTACTTTTTCATTCTATCCATCTTCCTGCACCTTAGCCTGCTGATATCCCAGAGGTGATATGTATTGTCCTGGTGCAGCACTTTAGTCAGAGGGAATTTGAGACTCCAAGCAACACAACCTCTCTGTACTGTTGGCTCCCCTTGCCCCCTTACTCCCTTACCCTACCCAGCCTCTTATTCTTTCTTTCCCTGCTCCTTGCTATGTACCTTTTGACCCTACCGCTGTCTAACACCAGCAATTTAAAAAGGATTCCATCTCTCCATCTCCCTTCTCCTGCCCTGTTTTATTCAAGGTCGATTTCCATCTTCTTCCCTTCTCTGGAGCCCCTTGCCCTTGAAGTCATACCTCTCATGCAGCCACTCACGGAGAAATCTCACAGCTCCTGTACAGGCTGCAGAAGCCTCTCTCTCTCTCTCTTCCTGGCTTCCAAATGTCCCTTCCAGCTCCAGACTCCTCCCTGTGCAAGTGCAAGTGGGAGGTCCAGCCCTCCTGTCTTCAGGGCAGGATGTTCTCTTCAGGCCCTTCTCTGCAGGGAAGTTCTGGGCCCTGTTGCTGTGGTGGCAGGGATGCTTCTTGTTTCTTAGGACACACTCAGCTTTGCCAAAATCCTTCTCAGTCTTTAGGTCCCTCCTCCATGTTCCTCATACTAATAGGCCAGCTTTCTGGGCACAGGTGCGCCTTCCATGTTTGGTTGTAATGGGATGAGTGGATTTTGTGAGACTGATGATTGGACTTGCATGCTGTTTTTCCCTAAAAAAAAGGCCCTCAACCTGGAATCCCATAGTCACCATTGAGAAGCTTTCAAAAGTACATCTGTGCCTAGAGAGTTTCATGTAATTGGCCCATGTGGCCATTGCTACTGTTTAACAGCTCCTAAAGGTGTGACTAGGTTTGAGAATCAGTGCCAACATTTTCAACCTATGTTCTTCTCACGTGTTTTTTCTTTTCTTTTTTTTTTCCCTAAAAGCATTAGGATTCAGCATGAATCTCAACTTCGAAGCCACCTGTCCTTAAGCAGCCTTATAGACCCTGTCCTCAGCCAGAGTTCACCTTCAAAACAACAGGAACAGAATGTGCCTCCAGGATTTTCCAAGAAAGTTCCTGAGAAAGTTGGCAATGTGACTGAGCATGGTAAACTGCCAAAGAGAATTTAATAAAAGAAACTAGAAGGGCTCTGACTGAACAGGAATCCAGAGTGATTACATAGTTACTTAGATTTGCTGATGAACTGTTAACTATCATAGTGACTCTGGCAGAATCACCTGTTGGGGCATTTCACTTTGTGTGTCACACGCTGGCTTCTGCCCTGTTTTTCCTGTTGGTTTTGATTCCTGAAGAAGGGAGCTAGCCTCTAAAATCTTCTTGTCTGTTGTAATTATTACGCAGATGAGGAAATGGAAGTCAAGAGGGATTATGATTTAATGAAAGTTCTATGGCTAATAAAGGAAGAAGGAGGTGAGAAACTCACCTTTCTGAGAACCCAGTGCTCTCCTAAGACATACACCTGTTACCTACTCTACCCTGCTTTGGAAATGCTGCTGATAAGCACCATTAAACAAACTGGTGGTGTTTGGTGTATGCCCAAAACACATTGGATTTCAAAAAAAAGCAAGAGCCAGAGACAGATTGTTCATAACTAAGCTCAGAAAAACATAGGGAAATAAATAGGAGAAAAAAATGAGGTTTTTTTCTCTCCAAGAGTCTTTGTAACAGGGTGAATTATAATTCACAGGGTGTCAGTTGTAAAAGCAGTGCCTAATTTGCTTAGTGCTGTATCACATGTTTAGAGTGCAGTAAATGGTTTTAACTACTACTGATGGGAGAGGATTTGTAAAGTCAGCAGGCTGCAAAGAACTAAATGTGATGAAGTCCTCACTTGTTATCTTTTGGAACAGAGAGAAGAAAGGAAGGGTTGCAAATAGTAGCTGTTGCATTGATTTTGTGTTTTTTTTTTTCTTTTTAGCTTAAATGCTCATTTTGGCTGATCTCTCATTTTTAACTCCCAAGATCGTTACTTGGAAAAACAGTGCCAACCAAGTAGATGTAGCTTACTAATTTCATCTGTGAATTTACTGGGGCAAAACAATCAGATAAGATAGTGTTTTCTTTCAGATAATATAGAATTATTTATGCTGCATAATATTTCCAAGGTAAATATTCCTTTGACTCTTGGCATTCTTTTGTAGAGCCTATCATGCCCATCTAAACTAGAAGATAACTCTTTGCTATTGGCAGGAATTATTGTAGTTTATTAAGATACTTTAAAAATATTTTGAAGAAATCAAGTATCAGTCTACCAAAAAATGAAAGAAAGCCAGAAGTTTACAATAGCCAACCAGTATGCTACCCAACAATGCTACCTGTCTCTTAAGTAATCCAAGTGTGACAGTTTAGTTGTGTTTTCTATCTTTATCTATTTTTTAACCATAAAATTTGATAGATAACAATATTCTATATATGCACAGGAACAAATGTAGCTAGTTTAAATGAGAAGGAATTCAACCTAAGGATAATAGTGTACCTGGGTCTTCAGAGATCACTAGCAACAATGAATGTAAGGTCACAAGGCTTCTCTTTTATTTATTTATTTATTTATTTATTTATTTACCCTATTTATTGTTCAGACCTACTTCCATGGTTTCTTAGGTCCACTTGGTGGGTCAGTGGCTTCAAAATTATATCTTCAGATTTTAAGAGTTTACAGATCTAACTCCTGAAAGAGAGGATGAGCTTTCCTAATTCTTTCCTATTCCTAAGGAAGATCTGTCCTGGGCTAGTGGCCCATCTTTGGATCAGCCACTTATGTCTAGGTAGAACAGGTCATGCAGACATAGGAAAGTTTTAAAAATCACCTTAATAAACAGCCTTGGAAGACAGAATGGGAGTCAGATAGCCAATTAGATACACACCAAATGGTTTGTGATTCACTAAGTTCTTTCTTTGGGTAATGATCTAATTTGATTCTCGAAAAATGGTAGATTACTTTGTACCAAATTGTTTAATAGCATTTCCCATTTTGTGATCTTTTTTGTTGTTGTCGTTTATCTAGTTTCCTCCCAGGCCATGTAGTTTTGTTTTGAATTCTTACAGTCTAACATTGAGGGGTTCTGTAAATATTTGTTGAAAGAACATCTGTCTAATTATGCAAGATAGAATGCTCAGATGAGGATACTGGGATGCACTGAAGTAAAGTGACAGGGCTCAGGTCTCTCAGCTAAATGTTAGTTCATGTGGCCTAAATAGTTTCCAAACGACAAGGCTGCTGTCTACATCTTTTTTGTTTGTTAATGACTTACACAGTAGGATTTGGATCTAGTGGTTAGAAATGTGAAAAGAATTAAATTGAGGATAAAGATGTCAATTTGTTGTACAACAATTTGATTTTCTCCTCTCAGTATATCAAGTAAGAACAGTTTTCCATCAACTACAGTAGTCTTTCCTTACTCATTGGGGGTATATTCCAAGATCTTCAATGAATGCCTGAAACTAAAAACTGTACCCATCCCTGCACTCTATATGTAATACTTCCTAGTGTAGCACATTGCCATCCATCAAAACACATTCTCTGCTCAAGTCTTCCACCTACAAATTTAATGTCTTTCCATTTTAACCAAGCACTTATCTCACATAGTGGCTATAATTTGCAGTTTAAAGTATACCAGCAAAACTGGCATGAATGAATTGTTCCTTTTTCACAATTTTATAGAGAGAAGATTCATTTCCACCATAAATTTTAATCTCACCATGCACTTTCTTCCCTTTTAAATCAAAAGCTTTCATGTCTTGAATCCAGCATCACTATTCCTGCATTTTGGTGTCACTATTAAGGAATGATTGAGGTACTACATACCACAACAGTGAATTTGAAAACCAAGATGGCTACTAAGTTACTAAGTGGAAGGTAGTATATACAGTGTAGATATGCTGGATAGAGGAATGATTCATGGCACAGAAAAACAGAGCTTCATGGAGTAAGGTATCATGATACTCAGAATGGTGTGAAATTTGAAACTTATGAATTTTATTTTCCTAGAATTTGCCATTTAATTTTTTCTGACCATGATTGACTGTGGATGACTGAAACCTTAGAACGCAAAACCATGGATAAAAGGGGACTATGTACACTGAGTCTCTGCATTTTTTTTCTAAATGTTTAAAGGGTGGAAGACTATTTAGTCTATGGTTAAAACTGCAAAAATAAAGTTTTAATTTTTGATGACTTATTCCTGAAAATAATATTTGACATAATAGTCACTCTTGGAGAGGTGACCACATATTTTATAGTTTTAGTGATGCTTTTGGTTTTGTAAGAGCATTTGGAAGCAAGGACAGAAATCAGATATCTTTTCCTGGCCCATGGTCTCTCCCCCTTACATGAAATCTCCAGTTTATCCATCATTCATATGTTATACTCATAGAAATGAGAAATAAACATGAAGATGCCTTTCTCCTCACACTTAACATGGTGCCCATAGTGGTAACGAATGGAATGGAAATAATGAGGCAAGTTATATTAAAAAATGAAGAGTGTTTTGCAGGCAGACATATCATAAACACATTTTGTTTCCTGACAAAAATATTCTCTTGTATTAAGTGAATTATGGAGGGAGCTAAAAGATTCATTAAACAAAAAGCACACACTTTTGTTGCCCATTTTATATGCAGAAGCAGAATACTTCACTGTTGTTGTTTGCTCGAGGAAATCTGTCACCATGGATGCATCTGAGTTGATGAAAGTATTGGTAGTGCTGACATCCAAGAATGTTAACTTTGATTCCAGAATTGTAATATCTGTGCAGTGGCCAATATCGCCTGTGCCCTTTATTTAGCAAGAGATATGTGCACAGAGACAGGAAGACTCTGGTAGTGAAAGCAAACGATAGCTTACTCACAGCTTCCAGTGAAGCTCTTCCAGTTGCTACAGTCCACTGCTGTCTATTAAGCTCCCTGGGAGTTTGTCAGCCCCTAAATTGGCTAATTGTACAACATTAGGATATTATCTTATTACAAGGTAAGTGATAAGGTAAGGATGTAAATTTATACCAGGATGAAAGTTTCAGTGAGAAACAGAGGACAATGATGAGATGCGCTGAGTGCCCAGAAAGTTGTAATCTCCCTTGGTTCTTTTCATCAAGGTCTTGCCATAATAAATCCCACTCGTGTCATTAGCAAATCTGAAGTCCAGAGAGTGAGATTACATGGTAGTTTTACAGTTCTTGTTTAAAAGTCCTATGAAGATTTCTGTAGTCTTATATTCTCAATTTCCCTAGAAACAGACGTTTCTTGAGCTTGAGGATCGGGCACAGGCATGAGTGAAGAATCTGTGGTTTACTGATAAGTGATGACAAACATGTAGGTAAGGTTCTGGAAGAAAATTAGCAACTATTTTGTCTTCCTCATTTCTCATCTGGCACTCTGAGATCTCAAACTAATGTGTCAAAAGTATCTGCAAGTTTTATCAGATCACATAAAGAATAATTATAAAGCATACTCTACAAGAAGCTTCCAATTGTCCCTCATTTCTCACTAGGGTAGGTTTTATATATAAAAATG